CCCACTTCAATCCCTTCTCCACTTCTCCATCCTATTAATGATGAGGGATGTTGAGCATTTCCTCATATGCTTTTTGGCTGTTTGTATGTCTTCCTTAGAGAGATTTTTGTTCAGCTCATTTTCCCATCTTTTAATTGAGTTAATCATTTTTTTTCACATAAGGCACTTGAGTTCCCTGTGTATTCTGGTAATCAGTCCCTTGTCTGAGGCATATTTTACAAAAATATTCTCCCATTCTGAGGGTTGTCGGTTCACACTTGTTACTGTGTCCTTTGCTGTGCAGAAACTTCTTAGTCTGATATAGTCCCGCCTGTATATTTTAGGGACTATTGCCTGTGTTTGGGGAGTCTTATTTAAGAAGTTTTTGCCTACTCCAATGTCTCCTAGAGTTTCCCCAGCATTTTCCACCAGTAGTTTTATTGTTTGAGGTCTTAGGTTCAGATCTCTGATCCATTTTGAGTTGATTTTTGTTAATGGTAAAAATGGAGGTTCAGTTTCATCTTTCTGCAGGTGGATACCCAGTTTTTCCAGCACCATTTACTAAAGAGGTTTTCCTTTTCCCAATGGATTGACTGATAGCCTTTGTCAAAAATCAGTTGGCTGTAAGCTTTGAGGGTTGTTTCTGAGGTTTCTATTCTCTTCCATTGGTCCACATGTCTGTTTTTATGCCAATACCATACTGTTTTATTTTTTTTTTTTGAGAGGTTTTTCTATAGGGCGCATGTGCTCGCCAGACAGACAGAGAGAGACAGAGAGATAGAAAGCGAGAAATCACTCCCCCCCCAGGAGGGATGGCCATGCCACAATCTCTTCTCCATTCTCCTGTCAGAATCTTGGACATGCATGTGCACATGCCCAGTGTGAGTTTAAGCCACCGGGTCCGGGACGCAAACAGCGGTCAACTACGTGGGAGTCCAGCGACATAGCCATTATGCTAACTGCTGGTCCCAATACCATGCTGCTTTTATGATCACAGCTTTATAGTAAGTATATCTTGGGGTCAGGGAATGATATGCCTTCTACTCCATTCTTCTTGCACAGGATTGCTTTTGCAATATGAGATCTTTTATGATTCCAGACAAATTCTATGATTGTCTTTTCTAGATCTCGGAAGAATATCTCTGGTATTTTGATTGGAATTGCTGTGAACATGTAGATTAATTT